GAGCAGGGAGCCCGATGCGGGACTCGATCCCGGGACTCCAGGATCATGACCTGAGCCGAAGGCAGTCGCTTAACCAACTGAGCCACCCAGGCGCCCTGAAGGGAATAATTTCTTAAACGTGATGTTCTGGTATATGTCCCTAGTGAGACATACCAGAGACCAAAAGAACTGCAAAGAACTCTTAAACTGATTTCAACAGTTGTACTATCAGTAACACTGTTAGTATATTTATTCTGAAACTATTATGTGCATATTGTTGGATAAAGCCAATAATTGTTAATGTCAGAAACCAGAATTTTCAGCAGAGGAGAAAAGAAACATAGCTTAAAGAAAAATCATGTAATCTTAAATCAACTGAAATTTCAATTTGAAGTCACAATTTCATTTTTCTCTTTCTAAAAAATACATACTTCCTACCTCTGGTCATTGAAAAGGCCTAAAGGCAATGACCAACCTAATAACAGCTAGCTTCCCTAATGTCCAAATTGTGGACTCTTAACCGTTTTCTACTTTAAAAGAGGACCCAGCAGTCCTGGGAATAAAGACTGATTCCAGATCTGGGGCCAGAAATGTCTTAAGATACATTTGAACCATCTTGACATACCTGAAAGCAAGCAAGCTATAAAAGACCACCAGGGTTATATAGAACAAAAAGCACAGGAATTGACCTAATGGGTTCCTACCGGCCAAAGACGGAACAATTTGAGCATCAACCAAGATAATGACTGCAATATCCCTTTACCTGAATGAAGTGATCAACTTCATCACACTAAAAGTGGAACAACCAGACATCATGTGCCTCCTGATGTGCACAACAGCACTCATGGAGTCTTGCCAAACAACAAAAAAAACACTATATATAATAATCAAACCTTTAAACCAACCTACCAGCTTATAGAAAATATGGGGGATAAATGAACACATTAAGCACTATCATGAAGATAAGATACAGCTGTCAAAACCAAAACATGGGAAATTTTACAAGTCAAAGGACTGTTTTTTTCAATAAATAAATGGCAAAGAGATAAACCCAGGAAATTGATGGGGAGACTCGAGACATATCAAACAGAAGCAATGAGTGCATTTAACTTGGATCCCGATTTGGGTTTTTGTTTTGTTTTTCGGGTTTTTTTTTCTTAAGCAACTGTTTATTTTCCATCAACCTTATTTCCATTTTGTTTGACTTTTTGGAAGAGCAGCTTAAGACTGCTCAGTGGTTGTTCCTATACTTTCAGTAGCCTAAGCAGTGGAAGCTGCAGGCTAGTCTTCAGTGGCAGGCTGAGCACTCCAGTTTTCATTCAGTAGGGAACTGTCTGTGACCAGTCTGTGACTTCAGGTTGAGGCAGTGAACTCAGAAGCTGGAGCAGTCCATTCACCCTGAAAGTCTTCTTTGGTCACAGCCTTTTCAGCAGCAGCCTGCTCTTCCTTTTCAATGTCTTCAGGATCTCTGTAGTAGTAGAGATCAGGCATGACTTTGCACGGGTGTTCATGGGAAATGGTGCCAAGCATGCAAAGAACTTCCCGGGCCAGGATCCACCACATCAGACCAACTGAGTGAGCTCCCTTGTTATAAGGGATAGCAATGTCCATATAGCACAGAGCAGAGTCTGCATTACACAGAACGATGGTAGGCAGGTTAACATAAGACACCTCTGTGACAGGCTGTGTCAGTCCTAGGATCAGTAACCACCAGAAGTCTTGGCTCCAGGAAGGCTGCCTGGATCTGGTTAGTGAAGGTTCCAGAGGTGAGGCGGCCAGCAGTAGGGAGTGGCTTCAGTAGCAGCAGCAAAGTTCAGCACAGCTCGCTGGCTAATATTTCTGGATGACAGGACACTGACATCAGCTGGGTTTTCAATGGCAACAATGGCACGAGCTGCCAGCAGAAGCATCTCCCAGGTTCTCTCCAGATTTTTTTTTTTTAAAGTAGGCTCCACGCCCAGCATGGAGCCCAACATGGGGCTTGAACTCACGACCCCAAGATCAAGACCTAAGCTGAGATCAAGAGTTGGATGCAAACAAGACCAAAAAAAAAAAAACAAAAAACCACAACAGACTTAAAACAATATTTGGTACTTATATTGAAATGGCTACTGCAAAGAGTCAAGGTCTATGTTATCTTTTTTCAAACTTTCTAGAATCCTCTTTAAGTCTGCTTTTCTTTTTTTTTTAGAGAGGGCCCGCTGTGTGGGGCTGAGGGAAATGGAATCTTAAGCAGGCTCCATGCCAACATGGGCTCCATCTCATGACCCTGAGATCATTACCTGAGCCGAAATCAAGAGTCGACGCCAAATGAGCCACCCAGGCACCCCTCTTCTGCAAGTTTTCTTAAGTGAAGCCTATAGTCTAAGAAAATTTTCTAGCTTAGAACTTATCTTCCATTTTTACGTAATGTTCTCAGGAAAAAAAATAACCATGACCAATTACTTGGATATTTCTTTTCTCATAATTGCACATTATAAACTATCAGTGGATTAGTAGTCAGATGATATGTTTAAGTCTCTGGTTCCATTCAGTACTAGTTTACCGAACCTTAATTACTTAATGTTTCTGAACCTGTGTCTTCATCTGTGAAAGTAAACGAAAAAACTGTTGAGTTGCAAGGATTAAAGACCCAGTATACATAGCACCTAGGGCTCTCATTTAATCCTTATTACCAAGAGATGAGGTAGTTTGATATGGGCATAGTCCAGAACTTAGCTCTGAAGCAAGCTGCCTGGTTTTGGAGCCTAGCCCTACAATTTACTAGCTTTGTGATGGCAGGAAACTTATTTTATCTCTGTGCCATGGTTTCCTCAAATGTAACTGATCATAGCACCTACCTTCTAAGGATTAAATGAGTTTCTATTATGAAGCACTAAGAAAAATGCTTAGAACAAAGTGCCTAGTTAAGTATTAAGTTTCACCAGCAGCATAATTATTATAAATTTAGAAACTGTATGTTGAACATGTGTGTACTCTGAAAAAGTGTCTTGTTTGAGGAAGGATAATGGACACAGATCATTTACCTTCTATTTATAATATAAAGCTTTAAAAAGTTATTGGCATTAGATTAAAAACACCAACCAATGTACAAAAATATCAAGCCCAGAAAGAGACCTAAAATAAATATGTGTGCATGCATATGTGTAAGTATAATATACACATACTCATACACATGACTTCAGAATGAGAACATTTTCAATGTGGAATTTCAATGTAAGAAATAAAATCAAACACATACTAAATAAAAATATGTCCTAACTGAAAATGAATAAAGAACACAGGCAATTAAAAAAAATTGCAACAAAATGAAGTATTTTTTACCCTCACTGGTAATTAAACAAATGCAAATAAAAATAATTTGTATCTTTTTGTTATTAGAATGGAAATATTTATATCAATCGAAAATGTTGAATAGAAGATGGGCAGTCTGACACTTTCATGGGAACACAGAAAGGTATGAGTTTCTGGAAGGCAAACTATTAATAAATATCTCAGTTTTAAAAGTACATGCATGCCCTTCAACTTATTTCTAGGAGTTTGCCCTTAGGAAATAATAGAGCCATAATGTATACAGATCTACATGGCGTTACTTATAGAGAAAACTCAAAATACAGGGAATTGTGATACATAAAATATTGTTTCCTCACACCTCAATTTCCTCTGCTTGAAAATGAAAACAGTATTTTCCATTAATAACACTATTACAAAGCAAGGAGTCAAGGATTACTTACCTGCTAACCAGGCAGATTAATAAATTCAAAGCAGGAACCCGCTCATCATCTTTGCTGTCCTAAAGAGAAAAAAAAAAATCAGAAAAATGTAGTGTTCTCCTTAATATTTTTGAAAAAATTTCCTTTTAAGATGCAAAATATGAAAATTTTATTAGATAATAGTAATAATCACATGGAAGTAGAAAACCTCAAAGAAAAAGGAGAAAACTATAGAGTTAACAACCTTTGAGAAACATCTGACATGATCTTTTTTCAAGATTTATTTATTTGTCAGAGAGAGAGAACGAGAGAGAGAGCAAAGCAGGGGGAGCAGCAGACAAGGGAGAATCGGCCTCCCTGCTGAGCAAGGAGCCCGATGCAGGACTCGATCCCAGGACCCCAGGATCATGACCTGAGCCAAAGGCAGACGCTTAACAGACTGAGCCACCCAGGTGGCCCCTGACATGATCTTTTAAAGAAAGGTCCTTAACAGGGAAAAGAAAGAGTTGAAGGTTCAAAGGAGAATAACTTGGGAGAGAGATTTTTCCTGGTTCCAAGCAGAGGAGCAAAAAAAACCCCCAATGTCCTAACTAGACAGTAGTGAAAACAAATTATATAAAAATATTTTAAAGAACTTAGAATTGAGGAATGAAATCCTGGCTTCTAGCATAAGACATACCAGAAAATACTCCAGCAGATCAGGGTTCTCGATTACGATGGAGGTAGTTGCTGAACTATATATTTTATAAAGTGGTATTACAGAGTGTGAAGTTTATTTTTATACATTTCAAGATATAGTTACAATAACCTATCGAGTAATGTTATAACAGACATGTCACATGTTAATTCAAACTTGGGACACACTTCCATAATGTTAGTGTACTCAATTCTATGTGTCAAGCACTATATGGAACAAAGCTGAATAAATCATATTACCTGCTAATAGCAGAGAAAATGAAATATCCACATTAATTTTAATGAAAGGAAAAATGTGTTAAGTGCCCATAAAAAAATATGAAGTATACTGAAAAATCAGAGAATGCAGAAATTCTTTTTAATTGTTAGAGTCAGGGAGAGTGTCACAGAAAGTGGTTGAATATGAGCCAGACTGTGAAAAGTAAATGGTATTTAGATGCAGACTGGAAGAGTGAAAAGGCACTTCTGTAGAGGAAATAAAGTCTAGGAACAAAACATGGGAAATATTTACCGAGTAGCAAGTACATTTTGCTTGGAGTACAAGCCATAGAAGCTAATTTGGGCCATATCATAGATGTTTAACAAAAATATTTTTGAGTAGTCAACAGAGAACGAGTATACATTTTGTGGAAGAGAAAGGGATGAAAGAAAAAAAAATCACACATGGACTTAATCTGGCATAAAATTTATATTGTAATGCTGCAGGCATGAGTTAGTGAAGCGTCTGATTGGAGAAATTCGAAACAATCATCCTGCCAGAGACTGTTAGTTGACCACTCTAGCTTCTTGTTTTCCCTCACTCTTTAGCAAAGGAAGCTCATTTTTACCTAAGCACACTGTGCCCTAGCTAAAAGTAAACATTTCCCATAGTTCCTTATGGCCATATGACTAAATTCTGGCTAAATGAGTTCTATATATAGCCAGATATGCTTGTGGAACCTCTGGGAAGCTTTGTTAGAGGACAACCTTCTCTTTCTAGTTCCTATAACCGAATATAATGGCTGACTCCAGCAGCCACCTTGGACCATGAGGTGAGCTTGACAACGGAAGCTACATGAGGCAGAACTCAAAAGCAGGGTTACTGCCATATTAGATTTGCTCTGTCCACCTGTAGACTTCCTTTATCTAAGAAAAACATGTCCATTTCATTTAAGCTACTGTTATTTGGGGCTTTTTAAAATTATGTGGCCAAATCTAATCTTGACTAATAAAATATTCCACATTTTCCTATTTCAGTGGCATCCTTTTTTATCACCATATAAATCAATGAGCGCTCTCAATTTGAAACAGCAAGTTGTAACTTACCACTAAGAGCCTTACTTCAGAGCACCTTCTTGCAAGCTGCCGAATCAGTGAATGAGCCTCAGGTAATAAAGGTTTTTCAAGACAAGCCAATAAAGCATAAAGCCACCTTCCCTAAATAGGATTTTAAAAAGTAGTAAGTAGCAAATACTGTACCATAAGTTTAATTTATTTTTTAAAATGTCCAAAGTTGTATCTGGTTATTTGCTATGAATAAATTAATGTAACATTAACTGTATTATATTTGGATATAGACAACAAGGGATCATCTAGACAGCCAGCTGATATTTTCTGTATCTTCTTACTACAGACACAGAACACTGAACACTTCAAAATACCCTTAGTTCCAAAGAGTTCATTTCAGAGATTCTTACTATAATTGAAGTCCCAATTTATAGGTAGAAAACTACATTAAGATGTGCATAAATCCTTGCAAAAATTAAGACACATATTTTTCCTTTGCCCTTTATAGACATGTATACAAATAATTTTATAACTTTATAACTTTGCCCCCTGTGTCTATACAAAGGAACTATACTCTAGATGAAATCATGTTTTGAAGGGGCACGTGGCTGGCTCAGTCAGTGGAGCATGTGACTCTTGATCTCGGGATGGTGAGTTCAACCCCCACACTAGATATTGAGATTACTTAAAAAAATAAATCTTAAAAAAATTATAAAAAATGTTTTGATACTTCTATAAGTACCACGGCAAACTAAATCTATCCCCATCTTTTTTTTTTTTTTAAAAGCAGGCTCCAAGCCCAGCATGGAGCCCAATGCACGGCTTGAACTCACGACCCTGAGATCAAGACCTGAGCTGAGATCGAGAGTCAGATGCTTAACCAACTGAGCCACCCAGGCGCCCCATCCCCATCCTCTTTTATTTACTTTATTTTTTCTCAAGATTTTATTCATTTATTTGACAGAGACAGGCACAGCGAGAGAGGGAACACAAGCAGGGGGAGTGGGAGAGGGAGAAGCAGGCTTTCCACAGCACAGGGAGCCCGATGCGGGGCTCAATCGACCTGAGCCAAAGGCAGACACTTAAAGACTGAGCCACCCACGCACCCCCCCAATCCTCTTTTAAAATGAAATTTTTTCAATTACAAAAGAAATACTCAATGCTGAAAAACTGAATACAAAAAGCGCAAAGTAAAAAACACACCTGCAACCCCACCATCCAGATAGTTTCTAATTTTAAAAATGCTAATTTTTATCTTTTTCGTATTTATATGTACAACTTTTAAAAAAAATGAAGTTCCATTATCGTATTAACATTAATAATGTGGTAATAACATTTTGTAGCCATCTTTTTTACTTGCAATACATAATAAATATCCCCCATGTTGTTAAATGGGATTTGGGAGGGAATGTTATTAATCTCAACACAGCACTTATACTCTTTAACCAAACACTTATACTTTCCTGTCACTGCTGGTTTATTCTTTCTTTCCCCAAACTCTGTGAGAGTATAAAATTAGATATTATACTCCTAGGGCCCAGACTAGAGTTGGAACACAATAGGAGCTTAAATTAAAATATCTGTGGAATGAGTGTTCCATTTTGGATGCACCATAATTTACTTAACCAATTTCCTATTGTTGAGCACTTGGGTTTAATTTGTTGCTGTTATATAAAAAATAGTGTGATAAATATCATTGGACATAAATTTTAGACCATCTCTGATTGATTTTTTGGGCTAAATTCCTAGAAATAAAATGGTGGTATCCAAGGGTATGTATGTTCATAAATGTTTCTGAGATATAATCAATAAATTGTACCCCAGAAAAGTTATATGAAATTATATTTCCACCAGCAGTGTTATATGACTGAGTTTATTCTGAGCAACGCATCACTTTGGAGAAACCTAAAGAATATTAAACAATGTTTACATAGCAATTAATGGAATAAAAAAAATTAGCTCCTCAAGCTACCCCAAATCAACCTTTTTCTTAAACAAAAGATTCACATCCAGGTTTCTTTTATAAATAGTAAGTGGAATTCTCTTCTATATCAAAAAAGCTATTATACATTTAAACTTGGCTCAAATTCTGAGGGCTACATTTACCAAATATAACTGGTATTCAGGTATTGAAATGGTGCTTAAACCTCTACTGATTGTCTAAGATGTATTTATACTGAGAGGTGCCTTTTCTCAAAGTCAGTGAGTTCACTGTGGCAATACTAAATGTAAAAACAAAACCCAAAACAAGATAGCTGAAGATATTCCTTCATACCTCACATTTGGATGAAAAATAAGGCTGTATTTATTTCTCAAGAAAAAATTAAAGTAATCCCAAGTAAAGACATTTAAAAAAAGAGATCCATTTTCCTTTTGCTAGTTTATGATAAGCAAACTTTGTGATACCGGTTTTTATACACTGATATTCTCAATAGTAGAGTTCTGATAGTACAGTTAATTGGATAGTGAAATTGAACACCGTTGAAGAGACAGACTGACTCCAGGTTAGAAGCAAAGGATTAACTAAGTTAAAATTTAGTAAATCAGTTGTCAGTTCCTCTGGCAAATATAGCTACTTTTTGGTAATATGCTCTCACTAATTAATAGGAAAAGTCAAACTTATCACCCTCTTCAGTGGGTAATCTTTAGAAGTTTAAAAAAAAAAAATCTTACAACAAAGAGTTGAAAAAATAAAGATTAGAGGAAGAGAAGGAAAACAGATCAGGTAATAGTGCTAAAACGTCACTATCAGAGAGAAAGAATGGATATGGAATTTAAAGTTCAATATCCAGATTCCAATGAATAAGTAATATGAATATGAACAAAGTTATCTATTAAAGGTATACCTAATATACCCATGATGGAAAAATATTCAGTTTCACTGACATTCAAGGAAATACAAATTACATTTACTTTGAAGTGCTACTATAAATTCACTAAATTTGAAAATAAACAGAAATTATAAAATGTTAGATGGAACCATATGGAATTACTGATCATCAAATTTTTTAACCTACAAAAATGGCAAATGCACATGGTTCAACTTAAACTGAAATTGCAGGGAAAAATAAGAATCCTTTGCCAATGGCATTATTAACTGGTTCATTCCTTTTGGAAAGCAATGTAGCAGAATGTAACAAAAGCTTATGAAATCTTGGGGCGCCTGGGTGGCTCAGTCGTTAAGCATCTGCCTTCGGCTCAGGTCGTGATCCCAGGACCCTGGGATCGAGCCCCACATCGGGCTCCCTGCTCCGCGGGGAAGCCTGCTTCTCCCTCTCCTACTCCCCCTGCTTGTGTTCCCTCTCTCGCTATGTCTCTGGCAAATAAAAAAATAAAATCTTTAAAAAAAAAAAAAAAAGCTTATGAAATCTTGATCCAATAATTATGCCCTAGCAATATCCTGAGAAAATGATAATTAAAATGAAATTAGTATAAATGTTTTAATTTAGTCATGATTATAAGAACCCAGATGGTCAATAATGAGAGAATCAAAGTAAACTATGAGACATTAAGACAATGGAAATTATATGAATTACATTATCATATAAAAATATATATATGTATCTAAGCTAAAAAACCCAGAATAGTATATTAATTACACTACGTAAAAGACATGTTTGACCACTGAATCAGAAACCGTGATTTTATCTTTCTCTATTTATTTATTTTTATTTATTTATTTATTAGGTAGGTTGCATGCTGGGCATGAAGCCCAATTCAGAGCTTGAACTCACAACCCTGAGATCAAGACCTGAGCTGAGCTCAAGAGTTGGATGCTTAACCATGGTCTTGAAATCCAATTTACAAAAGAATATCAAGTACCAGTAATAATAGCAAGCACTGTGTGCCAGGCATTACTCTAAGAACTTTGTATACAGTAATTCCTTGAATCCTCCAATAACCTATGAGCTGTTATTTGCATTTTACAGAAAAGGAAACTAGAGTACATAAAGATTCAGTACTTGCTTAAGATGACACATATCCTTACTGGTGGAACGAAGATTCACACCCCAGCAATCCAGCTATACTCTTAAACAACTATGCTGCACTGCCCCTCTACTTTATAGTTATATATTCACAGCTCATTTTCACCTTTAAAAATGGGTCAGTTTGGTGGACATTATATAAATAATCTGCTTAATCCCCTAGTAAGAAATTTTATTATCAAGTTAGATTTAATTTTTAGAAACATGTATTTTTTATAGTTAAGGATATTTGCAAAAGAGTGTACCTGAAGCTCCAAAGCTCCCTGTCAAAGCATAAGATATAATCTTTGCCCGCCAGAAACTTATGGTCTGCTGGGAGAAACAGATAAACCAACACTGCAATACAATGTACAAGTTTTTAAGCCTGCCATTCATTTAAGTAGCTTAGATAAGTCTTTTATATAAGTATAATGATCATATTCTTTACCACTAGATTTTCATTTTTTGTTTTTGTATTTTATTCTTTTAAATCTGTACTATATAACATGTACATTTAGGGGGAAAAAATTAATGTTTAAAGTCACTGTTTCTGGGGCACTTGGGTGGCTCAGTAGGTTGAGCATCTGGCTCTTGATTTCATCTAAGGCCTTGACTGATTCAGGGTCATGAGTTCAAGCCCCATGTTGGGCTCCATGTTGGGCATGGAGCCTACTTAAAAAACAAACAAAACAACACACACACACACAAACAAACAAACAAAAAAAGAAAATGCATTTCAAATTTCTTTAAGCCAGTGCTACTCAAAATGGGATGTCCAAACTGGATGTCAGTTGGTGATCTATTTGTTATTGGACTGCAGTAAGATAAGTTGCTTCTCCCGGATATAAATAAGCTCTTTAATTGACTTTTTCCAAGGCAAATCTTTCTCAATGAAGGAAGTTTAATGTTGATTTGCATTCTCCTGTAAGTTCCTTATTTCACTGCAACCAAGCATAGTTTGCATTGTACACAGTTATATGTACAAGTATAATACACACATATACATAAATATCTTAGAGCCATATCTCATATATAAAATAAGTCTATACAATTTTGTCTGCATTATGAAAATAAAAAGATGCGATATTACCAATTCTGGAGTAAAGTCTCTTTCTCCAAACCAATTACTCAGATATTCCAAGACACTAGTTACTGTTGCCTAAAAAAAGGGGAAAGGGAAGGTGGAAGAAATGTATTAGTAATAAAACAAAGACAAGTTCAACATGGGTTTCATTAAGTTTGGTTAGAAAGCAACTCTGATATCTAAAATAGTCCCATTCTTTAGACTTCCAGAGAAAACTGACTGTATTTAGTAATTTGGTTAGGTGGCTCACTCAGAAGAGGCTTTTTAGACACATATTTTTATATACTTTCAAGTATCAATACCTTGGTTTAAATCCCAGGATTTAGTTTGTAACTACTAATTTAGTTTATAAATACTTGAAAAATTCCACATGCTCTTAAAAAACCTTTGCATAAATACCTTCAAGTTATTTTCATTAAGTCAAAGTCAAAATATAAGGAGAAAATTAGCTGGAGAAAGATCTGTTTTTAAAGTTATATAGATAGAATTTATTAAACTGTTGAAAATATTCTCTTGTTTCTTCAAGCATAGTTGGACAGTTAACAAAAATCACTCATTGAATTTAGTTTAACTACTACAGTATTTTAATGCAAATGATCAAGTAAGTGAGACCAGTATATGATTTACAACAGAGCACAACACTTAAAAAAATTTATTTTCCAAGGGCACCCAATGCTATGTGAAGGCAAAACAATCCAATTTTTCATTTGCTCTTTAAATGGTAACAGAGTTCTTCATCCTAAAAGAGTGAAGAAGCTTTTGATCCAAGAAATTATGTATTTCATTCTTAATGGGATGTGCAGGACATCTGGAACTAGGAATAATAATCTAACCTTAGTTTTACTTCAAACCCCAGAATCTAAGACTTAAAACTGAAATGTATACAATTGAGTTTAGCAACATGTTTTAACATGAGCTCTGGAATTAGATCAAACAGGGGTTAAATCCCAGTGTTGCCAATGGAACTTGCTGAAAAACCACCTGAAAGTCACTTAACTTTGAATTTTGTTTCGCAATCTATAAAAATTGAGTATTAATAATAATTCTCCATATAGGGTTGTATTGGGGCTTAAATAAGAATCGTTAAAGAGGTTAGGACAGGGCCTTATACATTGTAAGTATTCAATAAATGTTTTCATATACTCTCATACACATTGAAAACAACAAAATACATACATCCTTATTATTAGATGGATTTTACCTGATTCATTCTGCTAACAATACTAAGCAAGGGAGGAAAACCAATCTGAAAGAAAAATCAGACTGAAATTTACTAAATGGCATTATAAAGGGTGATTCATTGTTTTCAAACTGGTGAATTTCTTACCACACTTTTTAAAAACAAAGAATAACAGGAAATTCCTTCATTACCCATTATAATAAAACATTCCATCAACTATTATGTTGGTAATGCCTCAAAAAATGTTTTGCAATTTGAATATATAAATTTAAAAATAATGACTTTAGTAATTAAAATATGAAATTTCTTAAACTGATAGTACGATTAACATGCTGCACACACTTTTTCAAAATTTTCAACTAAACCTAACATTTTCAGGAATTAAGGGTACTAAGAGTAATTGTTTTTCAAACCTAATCTAATTCAATTAAAAAAGTATTTTGAAGGTTAATGCTGGGAGCCTTCATTACGAAAATAGCACTGACTTAGAGGAAGTTAAGAGGATGTGCATTAACTCTGCTTCCTTATGGTTCTTCCACATGGTGTATTTTCCTTGTATATATTTTGTAGTAACAAGCTAAATAAGTCTTAATTTTTTGTCAAATTAAAACACATTTTGAAATGTAACATCCATTAGGGGTATTATCCAAAAGAAAAACAGATTGTGTAAGAAACAGGGCCAAATTAGTTCACTTCCAGATCTGAATCTATTTATACCTCACCACCATGTGTAAAAGTGCCTATTTTCCCAGCCCTTGTTAATACAGCGTATCAAATTTCCTTTGCCAATGTTACCAAAAATAGCAGCTCAGTGGAGTTATGAGTTATATTTCTATTGTGAGTGAATATGGCATCTTCTCATATAACAGCAATTCATATTTTTCTTTCTGTGAGCTATTTATTTCTTTTGCCTTTTCTGTTTTAATTGGGTTCTTGGTCTTTTAGTGACTTTTGGTGTTTGTTTGGTTTTTTTTTAAAGTAGTCTCCAGTGTGGATCCCAATGTGGGGCTTGAACTCATGACCCTGAGATCAAGACCTGAGCCAAAATCAAGAGTTGGATGCTCAACCTACTGAGCCACCCAGGTGTCCCAATTTTTAGAGCTTTTACATTTTTCGGATCAATTACTTTTAAATGGGAAAAACACACACCTTGTGGGGCCAAGAACCAGTTGGCCACATAATTTATGATTAGAATAAAGCCATGGGAAATTTAAATATACCTTTAAAACTTCATTCCAGAATATGAAATCTACTAAGCATTTTTAAGCACCTAATTGTGTCATGTTTTCCTTTGTTTCCCTGACTACTCACAAGTCGTAACCCATGCTTAATCATTAAAAAAACAAACAAACAAACCCTGACTCCTATCTAACTCACGAAGTTAACACATAGCTAAAACCTAAGAGATATGAAGCCCACCTAAGAAAAGTCACAGTACATTGTTTCGGAAACTGGGCTGCACATTTTTAAGTTAAAGAGCCAATTAACTAGGTCATAGGCTGGCAAACATTTTCTGTAAAGAGCCAGACAGTAAGCATTTTAGGCTTTGCAGGCCACACACTGTCTCAGTAACTTAGTATTATAAAAAAAACACTCTTAGCTCATGGGCTGTACAAAAACAGACTGCAGACTAGATTTGGCCTAGGTTGTAGTTTGCAGAATCTTTGCATTAAATCATGCACCAAAAGTAGAACCCTTTTTATTTATCCACAGATCACCTACTTGCACATAATCGATTCCAGGACCTTCACTTGTAGCTGGTCCAACAGCCCCTTCAGCACATAACCTTTCACCCAGACAAAATTTTTTCCAGCCTTCTTCATCTTCAGATTTTGGCTAAAGAAAAAAAAAAAAAATTTACTTATTTCTATGTTTTGTTTTTTTTAATGGAATAGTAAAAAAGAAGTCCTCTATATTCCTACCACTTCAACAGAAAGATATGGTGCCTGTTATGGGCTGAATTTGTCCCCCCAAAATTTCTATGTTGAAGCCCTACCCTCCAGTATCTTAGAATGTGACTGTATTTGGACAAGGCCTTTATAATGGATTATGTTAAAACCAGGCTTTTAGGGTGGCCTTTCATCATCTAACCAATGTCCTTATAAGAAGAGGAAATTTAGGGGCACCTGGGTGGTGCAGTCAGTTAAGCGTCCAACTCTTGATTTATGTTCTAGTGGTGATCTCGGGCCCCTCGTCGGGCTCCACACTCAGTGTGGAGTCTGCTTGAGACTCTTTCCCCATCTCCCTCTGCCCCTCCCCACCGCCCCCCCATTATGTGCACACACTCTCTAAAATAAATAAATTAAAAAAAAAAAAAAAGAGAAAATGTAGACATAACAAGAGGCACTAGAGATGCTTGTGCACATAGGAAAGACCATGTGAGGACACAGCCAGATGGCCACGTGCAAGCCAAAGAGGACTCAAGAGGAACCAAACCTGCTAATACCTTGATCTTAGACTTTTAGCCTAGAGAACTGTGAGAAAATAAATTACTGTTTGCTAAAACACCCAGTCTGTGGTGTTTTATTATGGCAGCCCTAGCAAATTAATACAGTGCTCAAGTGTTACACATTATGTGGGATGTGTTTAGTTTGGACACTGACCAATAAGGGTTTGTACAAGAGGGTGATAAAGATGGAAACTGGTTTGGGGAAAATGCGTTAAAAACACAAGAATGAAGGATGTTTATACCAGGGAAAGAGACAGAATTAAATGCTTCACATACTTGGAAGGCAGTCCAATCAAAGAAAGAATAGATTTATTCTACACTACCAAATGCAGACCAGTGGGGAGAAACACTGACAAAACCATTTTTAATTGTACACAACACCTTACACATTACTTTGCATAGGTGTAGTTTCTCCCCGAGGATAAATAGCTTTCATTAGATTCTCAGGACAAACAACAGACCCCTGAAAGGTTAAAACCTATTGTACTAGAACACTGTATCTGCCCTTTCCCTTTACTCCATTAGGTCAGAGACTATTTCTATTTCGGGTAACACTGAATACCCTGGTTATTATTTTTTTAAAGATTTTATTTATTTATTTGACACACAGAGAGAGATAGCAAGAGCAGGAACACAAGCAGGGGAGAGAGGGAGCAGCAGGCTTCCCGCGGAGCAGGGAGCCCGATGTGGGGCTCGATCCCAGGACCCTGGGATCATGACCTGAGCTGAAGGCAGACACTTAACGAATGAGCCACCCAGGCAGCCTGAATACCCTGATTATTAAAGATAGGTGCTTAATAAATGATTGAATAAGTCAACAAATAAATGTTTATATTTATCTAGTTACTTTAAATAAAATGTCAGAGTGCTTTACTTGAAAAATTTTTCATTTTATTATTTACATAACATTTACTTTTGCCATGATGAACATGCTATTAATATTTCACTGTTTTGATGGATCATGATTTATTCAATCAATTATGTTTGGTCATTTACATTTCTGACAAAATTATATTGTCATAATGTTACTGATGCAGCTTCTTTTTGAATTAGTAAGCATGTACCCAAAAGTCCTTATACTGAGCAAGAAAAAAATACGTCTACTTACCTACCCCGTCCCCCTACCCCCTTTTCCCAGGAGGCCTCACAGCACAGCAAAAAGCTTTATAGCCAAACTTTGGTTTGAATCTCAGCTATACCTTTTATGAGTTAAATGATCTTGGGCAAGTGATGTTAGTTTGTTTCACACATTTCCTAGAGCAGAGCTTTCAATTGGTATGGAGAAGCAAGTAGAGTCCATATCCTTAATTTCTCAGCTTTCAGCTCATAGTCTAGGGCTATGTAAGCAGCCTCCTCCATTTATCCCAAGGTATTACAGTGTAAAAGATATTATGAAACACTGCCTAGAGGAAGCTTCTAAACTCTGAAATCTATGAACTACCTGAAGCTGGGAGCAAAACTGTGTGCCCTGGTGCACACAGTTTTTTCCTCTGAAGATAAATAGCTTTTGTATGATTCTCAGGAAGAATATGAGACTCCCTAAAAAGTTAAAAGTTTTGTCCTGAAGCAATGTATCCATCCCTTCTCCAACTCCCTTTTTTATTCAGTAGTCCAGATATGACATATCTCCTGAAGTTGAAAATTATATCTAAGCTGATAAAGCACAGAAAATACTACTTTCTAATATGCACAACAGGCTTTACTAAAATGTCTCTGGTATTGGCACCATTACCTCACCAGGAAAATCCAATAAGCCTTTATTCAATCTTTTTGTAAATACTGAAAATGCCTTTATTTTCTAAAAAGGCAATGTCTAGAAGAACCCTTAAAAATTTGTAGAGGCTGGGGTGCCTGGGTGGCTCAGTCATTAAGTGTCTGCCTTCGGCTCAGGTCATGATCCCAGGGTCCTGGATGGAGTCCCACATCGGACTCCCTGCTTGGCAGGAAGCCTGCTTCTCCCTCTCCCACTCCCTCTGCTTGTGTTCCTGCTCTCACTATCTCTCTCCGTCAAATAAATAAAATCTTAAAAAAAAAAACAAAAAAAAACTTAAAAAAGAAATTGTAGAGGCTGAACAATTACCTATTCAAAGTCTCTCAAGACGCTATGGATTAAAACTGTCATAAAAATAACAACTTGCATTACTGATTCTATACTTTTAAGGCTACTAATACAACAGAATTGTTTCTATTAACGGTCAATGAAAAAGAACAAAAATAATATAAACTAAGCAAGTGAATCTTTAAAGACTGGCAGTAAATACGGACTATTTCAAATAGGTACACACTGTACAACTTAACCAAAGAAACTTACATACCATGGTCACGTTACTGTCTAACTGTTGTGACTTCCAGTGATTTCTATGTCTGATCACACTCTAAAGGAAGAAAAGTTAGGCAAGTGATCTTCAGAGAATGGATAACTGAAAAGAAATCAATTATGAAACATCCTAACAATCCTGAAACTTGGAAGACATGTTTCAAACTGTATTATGTCTAATGATTATAATCTGGTAATTGATTTATAAATATTTTAACTTTATCCTTCAGAATAACGAATCTTGGGGCGCCTGGGTGGCTCAGTCGGTTAAGCGATTGACTCAGTTTTGGCTCTGGTCACGCATGATCTCCTGGATCATGGGATCAAGCCCCTCTTCGGGCTCCACACTCATTGCCATTGGGGAATCTGCCTGAAGATTCTCTCCCTCTGCTCCTCCCCCCACTCACATGCCTGCCTGCATGCGTGTGCGCTCTTTCTCAAGTAAATAAATCTAAAAAAAAAAAAGAAAAATGAATCTTATTTTTCTAGCTTCAGTCTAAGAACAGAAATAAATCTTGAGGGAGGAAGGCAGGAAGTCGTCTAATTTAAAATTCAATTAGCCAACATATATTACATCATTAGTTCCCGATGTAGAGTTCAATAATTTATCAGTTGCATAAAACACCCAGTGCTCATCACATCACGTGCCCTCTTTAAAGCCCATCACCCAATTACCCCATCCCCCACCCACCTCTCCTCCAGCAACCCTCAGTTTGTTTCCTATAGTTAAGAGTATCCCATGGTTTGTCTCCCTCTCTGATGACTTCCCATTCAGTTTTCCCTCCTTCCCCTATGATCCTCTGCGCTGTTTACTATATTCCACATATGAGTGAAACCATATTTCTTTCTCTGGAAGAAGGGGTTTAATTTGATTAAATAATTAAAGTACACTTACCTGTCGAACAGATGAAAACTGTGCCACTTGTTGTTGTTGCCACTGAAGTGTGGGAGAATATCCTTCAGGAGCAGGTTGGCATCCTGAAAGCTGGAGATCAGTTCATAAATATTAGAATCAATGTTAGTGTTATAACTAGAATCTCATGCCTCTGCAAAGTAAAAGCAGAATCAAGATGAAGAGTAATAAAGTAAATGATTAAGGTTATATAAGAAAGAAACTATACTTCTTGCAGATGCAAAAAAGTAGGGCTTTCACTTCATTATTTCTGTCCAAGTTTAAACATTAGGAAAAGATCCTTGTAGAGTCACTTCAATAAGAGCAATCTGGAATGGTTCATAGATGGGAGTTTCTAAACTAAGAAATCTAAATTATATGAGCTCTGAAGATATAACTTAGTTCTACCTTTCTATAATAAAGAAACTGTTTGAAACAAAGAGATATATCCCAAATAAAGAATTTGGTATGGGCAGAATGTACTCAAGACCCTTGACTTTACAAAGCCTACTTTAGCTTCCTAAGACAGCAAAACAGTTCAAAATTGATGACAGATTGCCTTGAAATAAAAGTGTACTTTTCAAAAGCTAGGTATATAAGAAATTCTTGTCCATCAACTAAAAATTTCTGAAAAAAAATTATATGAAACATTATAGTATCTGAATTAAAATATCCTGATAATAAACATCAGATAAAGAAATTACTTGGAACATAAAAGGAAAAGGACCTATCACAATTTAAAAACTGCTGCTCTCCTTTGACCTTAGGTTAAATAGCACGACCTTAGAGAGACCTTCTGCAACAACTCTACCTTGTTACTTATTGGTCATTATACATGCTAATTTTCTTCATATCAGTAGTCACAATATATAATTACTTAGTTTGCTTGTTTACTCTGTCTTCCTCAGGAGAATGTAAACTCTACAAGGGTGGGGATTTTTGTGTCTCATTCTCTCTTGTATTCTCAGTGCCTGGCACAACCTAGTCGCTTAATAAAAAACATGCTGGATAAATAAATGAACAAAAATGTTCAAGGTGTGCAAGTAGGTAGAAAAACGTAAGATACCTGAGTTTCTCTTCTTAAAAAAAAAACCCAGTCAAATTCAGAACATGCAAACTACACTAAATAACATTAAACACCAGCCCAAGAATAATTATGAAGACAAATGGAAAAAGGTTCCCTAAATATAAATGATAACGTAAGTAACCTATTTAAAGAGTCTTTTAGGACTGCCCTAAAGTATGATGAGTCTCCACGAATGCCAGCGTTACTGAAAACCTCTCTGGAGGCAGTAAATGCCAACTGTCTTTTTGGGGGAAAAGTACAAGCTAATGTCTAACGTCACAGAGAGTAGTCAAATCTTACATATATCATAAAGATACTGTGGGATACCATAGGAAAAGCCTTGATCTTTCCATTTGGGCGGGGGAGGGGGAAAGGGGAGAATCCCCTGCTGGGTAGTAAAACTCACAGAAACATTCACACTTTGCTTCCTTTTCAACTTCTTTGGGTCAATTTGAGCTACCACAACATCTGGACATTGAGCTGCTTCGATCCTACAAATAAATAATAAATGCAAGAAATGTGATTACGGCTGTGCTTTGTTCATGTGTAGTAAAACGAGCGATCCATTTCTACGGTTCTTTACGAAATGAGAAAAAAAGTTCAGAATTGCAATTGACGTACTAAACAACGTATTTCCGAAATTAACTGGACTGAAAGCAAGGAAATCTAAAAGTACACATCTTGACACAGGTAAACATAATTAAGCTCATAAAAACTCGCCCAGGTAAAGATGTAATCAAGTGATCTTGATTCGACCCTACCTCGCGTGAGATTGGGAAGGGAAACAGAGGCGGGGCTTTATCACACTTAGGGAGTTGAGCTGTGCCCAGGGGCAGAGCGGACGACCAGCCCACCCGCACAGGGCCAAATCACTCACTGGACCCGCCTCAGGTATTCCTGAGGCGTCCTCGGTGGTACGGAGGGATCAAAACTTTCTGTCAAGTCGCAAGGCTCCACTGGCAACAGCCTGGGCATCAACTCTTCTACTGCAGACTCCACTGGTATCCACGCCATGGTTTTTAATCCAGCCAGTCCCACCCAGCGCATGCGCCAAATCTAGGTCACGGCGCAGGCGCAGAGGTAGGCACTTTAGGCGCGGAGTTTAGGGAGGCAGGGCTTAGGGGGCGTAATTGCACTTGAGGAAGCCTGCTGATTGTCCCAAGGTTAAGGGTCCGGTGGTGTAAGAAGACCGTGAATTTAGTTCCTTGCAGAAGTGGTTCTGAAGTGTTTCTGTGTGTTTCCCTTCGTTCTCTCTTTAAAGGCGAGGGTAAAGACAGAGGATTATTAACCTTTATGCATCTGCAGTAGTGAGGGATCCTTGAATATTTTTTGAATTAACGAGCAGTGTTACTGTAATTACCATTTATTGAGCTCTAGATTCTTTTTTTAAATTGTCTACAAGAAATCAATTTATTTATTTATTTATTTAAGCAAGCTCTGGATTCTTAAACCCTGGTAGACACGTCACGTGTATTTCCTCGTTTAATTTTTAAACCAACCTTTTGAAGTAAGTGGTATTATCCCGGTTTTGTAGGGGAGGGAATCGATGGAAAGACTGTGTCACAGCTGTGACTTTCTTCCGAAGGGGAAGAGCCATTTCCAAACCAGATTTATCTGATGCCAAATGAATGAAAAATAAATTTTCCAGAGAAATTTCTTGTGCTTGGCTACTTGAAAGATCACTTTATACTTTCCGGAAATGAGTATTAGACCTTGCTTAGCCATTACTTTCTTTTTTTTTGGAGAGACCACTTTGTTTAAATATGAGTAGTGAAAGGATAAAGCTAATGCCAGTACCCAAAAGTTACCATGATTAATCTTAGGGCCAATCTTGTGAGGCAGGTACTATTATCTCCATTCCGCAGGTGAGGAAATAAGTCAGAAATGGATTAAGTAACTTGTGCTGGGTGACAAATTCCAAGAAACAGTGAAAGTATTATATTTTATTCTTTCTAAACAAGCTCTAAGTGAATACAATTGACTTTTATTTTCTAAGATTATGTTTATTTTTAAGGCTTTTTTTTTTTTTTTTTAAAGCACTGCCTTTAGCTTGCAAGCAGTTGATTTCAATACCAGAATGTAACTCTCTCATTTGAAGATAAAGTGAGAACAAGTACTTGGGTTAAGAGCTAAAGAAATTTGTGCTTATGAACAGTAACTAAACAATTGGGAGACTCATAAACACACTGCTTGGGGGCAAACTGGAAGGTTATTTGGTTTAAAATGTTACTGATTTTGTGATAACTTTGGTGACAGATGGTAACTACACTTATGGAGGTGAGCATTTAAAATTTTTTATTTTATTTATTTTTTTACTGATTTTGGAAGAAACAAATTTGAAGAGAAATATGGAGACTCTTGTCCCCAAACATTTTGGTAATAATCAAGAAAAAATTAGAAAATGTAAGTGATGACTTCATTTCTGGATTTTCTTACAATTTTCTTTTTTTGGGGGGGAACTAATTTGTTAGCAATTCCCACCCATTTTTTGGATAAAAGAACAGGTAATTACCTAGGAGACCAACCTCCAAAGGAACCATGCTTGCCACTGGATTTCATGTATAAGTATGTGGCAGAACTACACATAGATGAAGAAAGAAAGGAGAAGAACAGCAGAACGGAACACAGGTTGTCCTTGACAATAATTATTTTCCAAAAGAAGAGGTGAGTAATAAAGTACACAAATGATTTGAAATGAATCTAAAATTTTAAATACATAGGAATAAATTCATTCAGGAAAGAGGAAAGTAAATTAAAAATTTATAAGGGTTGCTTTCTGCTACTGCAGTGGAGTAAAAAAGCTTTATACTGGAAAAAAAGGAAAGGCTTCGATATGCCCTGGTTGGAGGCTGTGGCACGGGAAAGCTATAGGTGGGCTACTGTAGGAGAGGTAAAATTTCTCCTCCACCCTCTTAGAGTCTCTGGCTGGGCCTAATAATTAAACTGACATAAGACTTATGTCAGGAGACATAACAGGACAAAAGCATATAAATTTTATTTAGTATTTCTTACATGTACATGGGACCCGTCACAAGAAAAATCAAGACCCCAGTAAGGTAGGACTGAAAGCTGATATAATAGGTTGCACAAAGAGTAGTGAATTTTGATAATGTAACAAAGGGATTTGGGCTGGGGTAGTTAATTGTGGGAAAGTAACTAGGAACATAAGGGTTTAGTTTAATAAGGTTTGTCTACACATTTATCTCAGCTTCAACTTCCCATCTCTGGTGATAGGAAAATCCTACTGGTATAGGGAGGGTACCTTTCACATGAGAGTTTTATTTCCTGCTTTCAGGGAAAAAAAGGAAGGTTAGAGGACCCTTCTTGTATATGCTTTTTTTTTAAGTGACTTTAACTCAAAATAATATGCCAAGGGTGGCATATTTGGGAGTGGCATGCTCTGACCCCATATTCTACCTAGAAGAGGGACATCCTATGAAATTGGTTAGGGGTGCATATTTGCTTTCTTTGGTCGGTTGGTCCTAAATTGGAAGCAGGGAAAAATATTAGGAAAGTGTCAATTGTTAATCAAGTCCTGGCTATCATGGGACAATTATTAAGTTTTTGTTTGGCTTTCTGGATTGTTTCTAGAGATAGCAGTATGACTTCCTACAAGTTTGACTTCTAGGCTGCTTTTCCTGGCTGGTTACTGTAGAATAATAGGTTGATTTCCTGGGATGGTTACTGCAGATTGTAGGTCAGAGTCCTATTTATATATATATGGTCTGGCCATTGTCCATTTGTATATTCAGTCTCAGCAGGTAGAGGAAAGGGTTTGTTCAGGGCCTTATTACTAGAAGAAACAGGTCATGTTGGAAAAATTGGAAGGAGGTCAATATGGCTGATGCATAGAAAATAGGGAGTGAATGGTGCTAGACAGGGTTGTGAGATATGTAGCTGTACATAGTTATGTATGGGGCACCTTCTTACTGTGTGCTGGGGGCTGTCAATGCCCTCCAACCATAGACTACCAGAACACTCCTGTAGTCACGTGATTATTGAGACTAGGGTATGTCTCAGTAAAAGGATGCTAAGACTAACTTATTTTTTTTTTTTTAAGATTTATTTATTTATTTGAGAGAGTGAGAATGAGAGAGAGTACATGAGAGGGGGGAGGGTCAGAGGGAGAAGCAGGCTCCTCGCTGAGCAGGGAGCCCGATGCGGGACTCGATCCCGGGACTCCAGGATCATGACCTGAGCC